TGGAAGATTTTTTTTTAATAAAGGCAATTACATTGCGTTGAAAGACAACAGAAAAAAAGGCGCTAATCGAAAAGAAAGAAGAGGCATTCTTTCGGGTCAGTTTAAATTAGTTTTTAAAATACAGTAAAGTATTTTACTTCCTTGCAATTAAAACCAAAATGTAGGTTTTTTTCATTTTTAAAAATTCATTTTAAACTTTAGGTACCCCGTTTTTTTGTGGTCCCAAATTTTATGACTTATATTTTTCCTTTCAGTGTTGTACATTAAATGTTTTCATATATCGTTTAAAATTTGAGTTTTTGCTTTATTTTAGTGTTTCAGTTTTAGCATATCACTAACATATTTCCCAGGCATTAAGTTACCATAAACAAATTCATTTATATGACTATTAGTATTACTTTTTTCAACTTCCATTACTTTAGTAAAGAATTATTAATGTCATCAAAATACTGATGGGCTGCCATTCGTATAAACACAACATAGCTTTTTTTCTTTTTTTCTTTTTTTCTTTCTTTCTTTCTTTCTTTTGCGGACTTTACTACTATCGTATCTATTTTTTTTTTTTTAAAAAAAAACGTTTTGTATTGGAAAGGTGAAAATATCTCGGAGTCTAAAACCTTGAGGCGATTACAGGTGGGCAGAGATATGTGAGTGCTGAAGTCAAGAAAACTTGATGGAAGAAATTTTTATATTCTTCTTAAAAATTTTTTTTTTTAATTGAAAATATTAGAAAGCGGCTTCAATCGATCTTATCCTGGTAGGTAGCAGAAGTGATGCCGAAAGGCATGAAATCTCAAACAGTTTTAAATATTTGCACAGAAAGAGATAAGTTAAAAAAAATACACTAATCCCCTTCCACCCTATCTACATCATAATCTATCTAATTATATCTGGCACTGTATATACTGTCAGTAAATTGCTTCTAACTGTATAATTGGCTTAAAGATATCTAACATTTAAAGTATTATTTCTTATCAATTTACCCCAAGCAAATCAATAAAGCCAACGAAGACGCAAATGGTTACTGAATGCGAGGTAATGTTCCCTCTTCTTAATAATGTTAGGAAAAGAAGACATTTTTAAGAAGAGAGAACAATAAAAGAACAGGAATTAAGAAGAGAGAAGATAATGATAGACATTTCATTAAAAGTTTTGCTATATTTAAACTGTCTAGGAAGCAAGAAACCAGCAGATACTTCCAAAAACGAGAAATGCAAGAGAAGAAACTGCTGGCATAGAACTTGCTGTTACAATCGCCATTTCAACGGTAAAATGACAAGACGTCGCCACTAATCCAGTACTGCGCTGACATTCAGTCCAGGTAACAAATTCCCAGCATCCCTCATTAATGCGCATGTGCAGTTGAACCACTATAACAAATTTAATCCGATGAGGTCTTAAAGGACAACATGCGTCACAAGAAAACTTCTTCAGATTTGTTACACATTTTTCCCCAATATATACATATATATTATTAGGATTGAGTTTCCGGTTCCTTCTAAAGTCTACTTCAACACTATACTTCTAACGTCTCCACCTAAACTCTGAAATGTTATTTATTTATTTTCTTCCTTCAGTAGGAGTAGATAGGTTTTTTGAATAGGAGTAGAGGTTTATCCCTTGTTTCCTGTTTAGGATTGGGTTTCCGGTTCCTTCTAAAGTCTACTTCAACTCTATACTTCTAACGTCTCTACCTAAACTCTGAAATATTATTTATTTATTTTCTTCCTTCAGTAGGAGTAGATAGGTTTTTTGAATAGGAGTAGAGGTTTATCCTTGTTTCCTGTTTAGGATTGCGTTTCGGTTCCTTCTAAAGTCTACTTCAACTCTATACTTCTAACGTCTCTACCTAAACTCTGAAATGTTATTTATTTATTTTCTTCCTTCAGTAGGAGTAGATAGGTTTTTTTGAATAGGAGTAGAGGTTTATCCCTTGTTTCCTGTTTATAGGATTGGGTTTCGGTTCCTTCTAAAGTCTACTTCAACTCTATACTTCTAACGTCTCCACCTAAACTCTGAAATGTTATTTACTTATCTTCTTCCTTCAGTAGGGTAGATAGGTTTTTGAATAGGAGTAGAGGTTTATCCCTTGTTTCCTGTTTAGGATTGGGTTTCGGTTCCTTCTAAAGTCTACTTCAACACTATACTTCTAACGTCTCCACCTAAACTCTGAAATGTTATTTATTTATTTTCTTCCTTCAGTAGGAGTAGATAGGTTTTTTGAATAGGAGTAGAGGTTTATCCTTGTTTCCTGTTTAGGATTGGGTTTCGGTTCCTTCTAAAGTCTACTTCAACTCTATACTTCTAACGTCTCCACCTAAAACTCTGAAATGTTATTTACTTATCTTCTTCCTTCAGTAGGAGTAGATAGGTTTTTGAATAGGAGTAGAGGTTTATCCCTTGTTTCCTGTTTAGGATTGGGTTTCCGGTTCCTTCTAAAGTCTACTTCAACACTATACTTCTAACGTCTCCACCTAAACTCTGAAATGTTATTTATTTATCTTCTTCCTTCAGTAGGAGTAGATAGGTTTTTTGAATAGGAGTAGAGGTTTATCCCGTGTTTCCTGTTTAGGATTGGGTTTCCGGTTCCTTCTAAAGTCTACTTCAACTCTATACTTCTAACGTCTCCACCTAAACTCTGAAATGTTATTTATTTATTTTCTTCCTTCAGTAGGAGTAGATAGGTTTTTTGAATAGGAGTAGAGGTTTATCCCTTGTTTCCTGTTTAGGATTGGGTTTCCGGTTCCTTCTAAAGTCTACTTCAACTCTATACTTCTAACGTCTCCACCTAAACTCTGAAATGTTATTTATTTATTTTCTTCCTTCAGTAGGAGTAGATAGGTTTTTTGAATAGGAGTAGAGGTTTATCCCTTGTTTCCTGTTTAGGATTGGGTTTCCGGTTCCTTCTAAAGTCTACTTCAGCTCTATACTTCTAACGTCTCTGCCTAAACTCTGAAATGTTATTTATTTTCTTCCTTCAGTAGGAGTAGATTATTTAATCTACTAGGATAGGTCTGTTCTCATTCCACTGCCCATGTCTATGGATATCTCGTCTAGTTCTTATTTTTAGTCCTGCTCAGTTATTGCTCGCCCTGTTTCCACTCTTGTCCGAGTACACACTGCCCGACCCAGGGATTGAACTCACAATTACTAGGGCAACAATTTCGAAATGAATCCTTTATTTAATCGACGTGGTTAGACTGTTTCTCGTTTCACTGACCATGTCTGGGGATATCTCATCCAGGTCTCATTTTTAGTCCTGCTCATTTATTGCTCGCTCTATTTCCCCTCTTGTCCAAGTACACACTGCCCGACCCAGAGATTGAACTCACAATTATACGAACCAATGCACTATTTTGTGGTGAAGACCGTGTAATGAGAACTCGTTTACATTGATCGGACTTTTGTCCTCATCTGTGTTGCCATATTCACGACTTTTCAACCGTTGTACTCTCCGGCTTTCTTCACGTCATTGGAATCTCGAACTTAATGGCCGAGTGGATAAAAGATGTTTTTTTTCTATCCATTGACTTGAGACAAACAGTTGTGAGTTCAATACCAGGCCACAGCAGTGGTGAACCAAAACTTGGAGAGGTGAGCTAAAGGGAGATAACTGAAACATCCGGAAGAGGCATGGCACCTGGAACTAGAACAAACTACCCAGGTGGACAAAATAAAGGGTTCTGCTGGAAATTCCAATCATCCGAAGAAGGGTGGAGCGTACAATGACCGAAACGTCGTGAACTTGTCAATAAAGATGAGAACAACAATCCGAACAATGTAAATACTGTAAATAATTATAGTACCTCATCTCAGAAATAATGACATAATAAACGCTCCGTTTATTTCAGACACAATTATATTTCGACCCACGGTCTGAATATTCAAGGAATTTTATTAAAGATAAATACACCCGACTTCCTATATATAACATTTCAGTTGATTAATATACATATATATATATATATATATATATATATATATATATATATATATATATGTGTGTGTGTGTGTGTGTGTGTGTGTGTGTGTGTGTGTGTGTGTGTGTAGATTAAACACACATCAATATACGGTTCCCTATGGAGAAAAGAGAGAGACACACACACACACACACACACACACATATACATACATATATATATATATATATATATATATATATATATATATATATATATATATATATATATATATATATAAGCAAATATATATATAAATGTAAGCAAATATATGGATATAGATCCGACAGTATGAAGAAAAATATATACGGAAAAAAACAAACAAAATCCTTATATACAAGTCATGTTGTTTGATAATGTTAATATGTGAATATGTCCAGAAGTTTGGTTTATTAGATAAACCGTCTTCAGGACATATTCAACATTAAAACATTATAATTGTTTATCATGTTTTTTGTTTGTTTTTTATGTATATATTTTTCTTCATATATATCTATATTACATATATATATTAATCATTTCACCCCAAGCAAGTTGGTGATGCTACTAGACAGCAAGGAAGGACCGAGGAAAGGACAAAAAAAAGAACAGGTTGCAGCAAGACAACATATGGCGATTGACATTTCATTTAAATTCTTGACGAGTGCAGTTATGAGGGAAATGAGAACTCGGGAATTCCACAGGTGGGAGGTGCGAGAAACGAAACTGTTGAAGTAGAAATACTGTTGAATAGCTATATAAAAATCTGACTTTTGAATCTAGCTATTTCAATAGTAAAACAGAGAAGACTGGTTTCCAATCTAGTAGCACCTTTAAATATATGTAGTCGGAGACCAGGGCAAAAAGCTCATCAGAACAGTAGCCTTGAAAATATTTGTAGAAAGAAACCACGTCATGTCAGTGAGAAAGGGACTGAAGCCGAGATGCCTGGTCAGGATTGATTATATTGCAAACCCTTCTTTGCATTTTATCAAGAAGCTCTTGATGAACAGTAGGAGCACCAGACCAGATTTGGCAACAGTATTCAATATAACATGGTTACGCTTACATCACGTTGAAACACTGATTACCATACGATCTCCGAAGTTAAGGAACATCGAGCCTGGTTAGTATGTACATGGGTGACCGATTGGGGATACCAGGTACTGTAAGCTTGAACGCGTGTGTGGTGTAATGGCACGGAATTGGTATTCAGAGAGCTCCAGTTCCGGTTAGGTTTGTTATATTCCACCTCTTCTCCCCCGCTATGGATTAATTAGTAAGTCTTGTCTTATTCTTATCTCTGAAAAGAAAAATTCTTACCATGTAAAATACTTTCTGACTTTAAATAACATGTCGATCTGTGTATTCCTTCGGTATCAGAAATGGTCAACGAAACACACAGTGGTCAAGCGGTACCCCAACTTGGTGTAATGGTTAACAAGCTTGTCTCGCGAGAACAACTACGACTGAGTAGTGAGTTCCGGCCTCGCTGGGTACCCTATGATTTTTTTTTCCATTTTAAGTTACACTTAGAAAATCACCAATTCCTCCCCCTATTATTATTATTATTTCCTTTGATTTCAGTTAGATACAAATTTCTTTCCGGGTTCCAACCAGAGATCTAAGGTAAAAAAAAAAAGCTTCATGACATTTTCCATTGATCATTTTTGTTAAAAACGAAACAAAGATCACAAACATTTAACACAGATAAAATTCTTCACAACGTGTGTGATGTACTTGTCAGTAAAATATATTGTATTTCTTTAAGGCATGTGCTTACGGAAATCCCTTCAATGATTCCGTTGGAACTTTTACCAATCAATCCGAGGGATCCAACTATAATTGTAATTATTGATTCTCTCATCTGCCACATTTTTTTTAGATTTGCACTTCAAGATTTTGATAGTTTTTTGAAGTCCTTCAAACATAAATTACTGTATGCAGGGAATGGCATATCAATAAAAAGCATATTCTGTTTTTGTAGTTTTTTATCATGACGTCTGGGCGATTAGCTTTGATTGTTCTGTCTGTATATATTGCACAATGCCATAAAATTGTTACAGGTCTTATCTCTGTAATCGGGTCTGGGTGATGTTCATACCAGTCGTTTTCCTAAAAGTTAATTATTTTCCAGCACATATATTGGTTCATTCTATTATGCTTAGTTTTATGTTCAGCGGGTGCTAACACTGTGCAACCTAATATAAGATGGTCAATTTTTTATGGATATTTATCACAGAATCGACATTTCCGGTTAAAAAAAATTCAGTACGTATGCCTGGTAATTTCTACTTAACTTACTTAGCAGCAAGAATAAAAAAAAATTCAACTTTTAACCCTGCACTACGTAATCACCGATAGGTAAGGGGTTTGTCTACATCAGCTTGTTTGATATGAACAAAGTGTAGCGGACCCATCGAGAGCACCCGTATCACAAAAGGGTGATGAGGTCACAAGAGGCCCGCTAACATTTTCGAAGACGTTAAATCTGACAAGGTGAAACAACATAGACGACAGAACGAGGATATATAGGATATATGCTAATTTATTCTAGAAAAAAATAAAGGTGGTCGGAAAGGTAGAGATTCTGACGTTCCGGTGCAGGCATTGATGGTCGAGGTTGGTCGTTGCAGATGATCGCTGCTAGTCACGCAGGTGGTCGCTGCTGGTCGTGCAGATGATCGCTGCTGGTCGTCGTGGTTGAGGTTGATGTTGGTCGTTGCAGATGATCGCTGCTGGTCGTCGTGGTTGAGGTTGATGTTGGTCGTTGCAGATGATCGCTGCTGGTCGTTGCAGGTGGTCGCTGCTGGTCGTTGCAGATGATCGCTGCTGGTCGTCGTAGGAATGCCAACTTGACGTGTCGGGAAGGAAAGAGGAGCTGGCGTTGTGATGCTGTTCGGGCATGTCAAAAACCCAGTGCTGACGTTGCGTGTCTGCCGGTCGAGTCCAATATAGAAACCCCCCGTAATAATTACAAACGTAGTGTACGGGAAAGGTTATGGACGACGTGCAGGCAGTCAGTAGGGACGGAATGCCGAGAGTCCAACAAGGAGAGAGAGAAAGAATGTTTCCAACTATCGTCCTGTTGGCAGACAAAAAGAAATGGGAGCGTAACTTAATACACAGCCCTGCGTTCCGACCGTTTAAGTCGCCGACACTGAATTTGGGGAGAAGTCACTCTATTGTGGTAAGGGAGACTAGCAAGAGAATTGATAAGCTAATACAGTAAAGTCTATCTAAAAAATGAGTAGAGCTTAGCTAAAAGGAAACCAAGGCCTAAAAATCTTAGAAGTATATTACAACTAGTATTCGAACTCGGCTCTCTGATTCCTCAATCCAAGCCGCTATCCATTACTCCACCGTGCCGCCTCTACGAAAGCAAGCAAAAATCCTAATATGCGATTATTCTGTTTTAATGTTTAATGTCAACGTCGGACGTTTCGGTCTAATAGACCATCTTCAGGACATATTCATAAAACATAATTAACATAGACCATATATAATTCGACATGAAAAAGACGATGGACATAAAAGCAATACCAATCCAAACAGATAACTGAAATATTTTATAAGATATGGTCTATTATCATCATCCTCATCATCATTATTATTATTATTATTATTATTATTATTATTATGTTCCTTTCTGACTCACTTGCTCATTGGATGTTTATCTGGTTCAGGATGAAATTCAGACAATGTTTTCCTAAGATTAGCAATCGATATGATAAGTTTCTATTGGTTTGCATTCATTAATTGGACAAAATCCAAATAAGTGATTAAAGATCTATATATGCAAGATAATTTATCGATCTCTGTAATCTTTATCGATTACATTCTGTCTTAATTATAACATTGACTAGATTTTCTTTTTTTTCAGAAAATGAAAGCCCACACTGAGCTCGTTCTAATCTTATGAACAACGATATTTCTTGGAAATAATTGGATATAAAGAGTCATTTGTCGAGAGGCTTCGATTTCTGCCGAAAATGATCGAAAATCAGATTGCTGATTTGGAGAAATGTAGCAAAAAGTTCACCAGGTAGATAAGCTGAACGTTGAAGAATCGATATTTATATTATATCGACGGATTTTAGAGGAAAAAGATGAAAATAGGTTTCTGTATAACAGGAAGAGAAGGCTGTCGTCTGGGTTGCTGCAATTAAAGCACGAATGATTAAAGAAAATTACCAATGTCCAAAACGCCAAGAAACCCTGAAGAAAAAACCAAATCACCATTCGTCTTTCTAGACGAAAAACAAATATTTTATTGTTCTAGTTTTCCAAGAATGTTTTAAACTAGCAAACAACAGAAAGCCGAAATGTTCGTGCAATTTAAGTTGCATTCGAATGGATACGGAAGTGAATGTGAAGATACACGTAAAGAAAGATAGAATCCAAGAGACATGATCTTAGATGTACCGGAAAGGATAAAGAGAATGCGAATAAACAAGTAAAGAGTGAGAGAAAAAGAAACATGCGATAATGGATAACCTTAGTGGCATTTAAAAGGATAAGGGTGAAAATGTGAAGATACCGTTAAAGAATAAGAAAATAGCAGAATTATGAGATGATAGATAATCCTAGTTTGATTGGAATGGATAAGGAAGATAATTAGAACATACAGGCAAAGAATCAAAGAGGGGGCCTAAGTATGTCATAATGGGTCATATTTGATATCAACGCCTGTATAATTTCCAAAGGGGCAGTCAGTCACAAGTTGGAACTGTTTTTCAAACATTTTTGTATCGTTGATATTCCTTAAATATTTTCCTCTTTGTTTTTTCTTGTCTTGTCAAAATATTTTTTAAAGATTTGGGGGTTTTGCCTAACTGTCTGTCAATCTCATTCACTCTATGTTCTACGAAAAGTACTTTAACTTATTCTGTTCGTTGGTTACTGTATAATTTAAAGCTTATATTAACAGTCTGAGAAAACAAAAATATTTCCTCTTGATGAACCATTTAACAAGGCTTAACACGAATTTTGAAGAAATTTCCCAAATTGTTCCTGATTTCATCATGGTTTTTCACACATTTACAAATACATGAGCCAAACTTTCCGATTATTTTTATAAATGAAGAATTCGTTAAAATACACTTGTCTTGGCTAATATTACAATTAGAGATGAAGGGGACAGACACTACACTTTGATCTCAGCCCAATGTCCAGGAAGTGAAGAAAAGCCTTACTTGAGCAGCATTGACAGCTCGGTGAATGAATGTCAAATGATTCCTTATAAGGGACGACTAATATTACCATTACCATTAGAGATGAGGAGAACAGATACTACACTTTGATCCCATCCCGATGTCCAGGGAGTGAAGAAAAGCGTAACTCAAGTAGCATTGGCTGCTCGGTCAATGAATGCCGAATGTTTCCTTATAAGGGAACGGCTAATATTACCATTAGAGATGAGGAGAACAGATACTACACTTTGATCCCATCCCGATGTCCAGAGAGTGAAGAAAAACTCAAGTAGCATTGGCTGCAATATTTATTTGTATAATAGATACAAAATGTGGCACAAGGCCAAAGTGGGGAATGGGAAAAGACGGATTTCTTCTGTCTTAACAATAAAACTCACAATCACTGACCCAAACGAACTACAATAATCCTTACACTAAAACAACGCTTTCTTACCTTTCTTGCAACATCCACCATAATACCTCATTGTCGCTATGAAGTTCTAAGTAGTCTTCATATATGCAATTCTTATCCGTGGGTGGGGAGGGAAAATAACAACTATTTAAAATCTGTTCCCCCAATGTGTATTTACAATATAAATTTTTAAAAATCTATTTACAAGAAACTAAGTAAAATAGTGTTCGTACTAACCCCTCCCCTCCAATCCTTAATTGTGGCAGAAACATCAAAGTGGGCGAAATCAATGCGGGCTTTAATAATATACAACACTCATTCGTCAAAACACTCACTCAAACTCATACTCATTCAATCACAATAAATACGAAAATCACACCCAAAACGAACGGCCCTCCACGCATCAGACAACTGAAGTCCCTGATCACCTAAACAGAATAGGGAAGGGGAATTAAGTAAAGAAAATAAGGACATAAATAAAAGGGGTTAATGGGCAGACATCGACTAGCTAATTTAACTTAACGTAAAAAACTAAAAGACGAAAAAACAACCCTAAACTAATCTAATTT